CCCCCCGTCTTTGGACTGAACGTCACTGTTGTCGTTGCACTGACAGACGGACTCAGAAAAAGATAAAAAAATGACGGCAATGACGGTGGAACAAGTGGAGAAAGCTGAGAGAGAGGTGATGAAGTACGTGACAGAGGGAATCCATTATGACAATGAGGACGAGTTGAGACTATTACGTGAAAGAGCACCGGCGTACTTCAACGTCACCTTGGACATCCAGAGGTCAATAGCAGCCAACGGAGAGAGATCGACGAGAGCGCAGCAGTTGCTGCATCGCTTACAGCAAAGTGCGTACGTGGCTAAAGACGAGACGTTGCCATGTTGCTCTGCGTACACCCTTCAGCGAGTTGTGGAATGGATGTGTGATGACGAAGACATCGACAAGAGTAAGAGAGAGGGAGGTGGTTTTTACGACAGATCGGCGTTCAAGAAGTTTGTTACATCTCGGGCGAAGGAAGCTCGAATGTTGAAGACAGAAGCGCATGACATATTAAAGAGTAATGCAGCGGAGATATTGACACTCAACAGGATGAACGAGCTACCTCAAACAGACTCTGTTGACTACCAAGATTTGGCAACAGTGGTGGTGGACGATGTCGAGTACGTCTTGCTCGATCAGATTATGGATTTCATGTTGAAAACAAACAATGATACAAATTTGATTCACGAGGCCTTACACGAGGTGACAGAGGACGCAATAGCAGCAGCAGAGCTTGCTGATGTCGAGAGCACAAAGGATGAAAATCAACTAGTGTCGAGGACTCCAATATGTCAGGGGGACATATTCACAGTCCTGGAGGACCTCACCAGGGCGTCAACGGAAGCGGATAGAATGAGCAAAAGAATGCAAGGATGGTAATTGGTTGTTGCGAAAGTAATCAATGTGACACACCATATGCCAAATAGCACCATGCGGACTACAAGTGGCATGGGATCTATAACAGCAGTTCAGAACCCGTTGACGATTCCTACTGCGGATACGTTGAGTGTCCATAATGCATTCAGAGTGTGGAGATTACCACCCTGTCGTCCTTCACATGAGATCATCGAAGGACACGAACAAGTGGCATTCTAGGGAGTGCATGCGGATGACGGAACTAGTGAGAGCGGCAATGCACAGACAGGGGATGATGAGAAACCGCCGTCATGCGAGGTGGGATTGAGTAGCAGTGATATCTGCGATGACGAGGAGGGTGATGAATACGACTCTTATTGGGACGTTCAGCGTGGTGGTGGACAGGCCCCGAAAGGGTGGTGTCATGCAATTTTAAGGTTGACAAGTGTTTTCGCAGAGCCACACCCGTTGATACGTGTTGTGGACAAGGCAATAACACCGGACGGATCTTTTCAGTTCGCAGGCGTTAAGGCAGTTATATCGTGCATAGAAAACGGCAAACGATGGCGTCGCACAGAAAAATCATGGTTTGTTCTCGTACATAAGGAGAAAATTCTTATGACATCAATGTCATGGGGTGTGAACCTCAGTTGCATCATACATGGAGCAGTTGTCACTGCATGCGGAGGAACCGTGCATCCGACAATGTCAACAGCACATGCAATTATAAATGCACAACCAAAACGCGGACTCTCTCTCATGACAGACGACACCATCGATGCGGCGATGGACAGAGGACATTCAAAGGAAGAACATTCGAAACGTAAAAAAAATTAGGACTCTCTCTCTCTCTCTCTCTCTCTCTCTCTGTGTGTGTGTGTGTGTGTGTGTGTGTGTGTGTTATTGTTTTTACCGTATCACAGTCACTCACGCGTGTAATGATGTGGTTGGGAAGTGGGGGCCATATATAAAAACGTTGTTGGCATATTACGGCGTAAGTGGCACCCACTTCCCAACCTTCTATAAATGTGAGGTTTTTTATGTCTTTTTTGTTGAAATTGCATCACATTTACAGACCGGTCTTCCAGATACATTCGTGACGATATAGTTCAGATGTCGGGGCCGTGTATTAATATGTTGTTGTCGTATTCCGCCATAAGTGACACCCAGTTGCCAACTTTGTTGAAATGTTGCAGTTACAAAAATTGGTTTCTAAGTCCTCTCTCTCTCTCTCTCTCTCTCTCTCTCTCTCTCTCTCTCTCTCTCTCTCTCTCTCTTATTGTTTTGACCGTATCATTATCAGTCACGCTTGTGATGATGTGGTTGGGAAGTGGGGGCCATATATGAAGACGTTGTTGGTATATTACGGCGTAAGTGACACCCACTTAACAACCTTGTACAAATGTGAGTTTTTTTATGTGTTTATTGCTCAAATTGCATCACATTTACAGACCAGTTTTCAACATACATTCGTGACGATATCGTTGAGATGTTGGGGTCGTGTATTAACATGTTGTTGTCGTATTCCGCCATAAGTGACACCCAGTTGCCAACTGTGCTGAAATGTTGCAGTTACACAAACATCTCTCTCTCTCTCTCTCTCTCTCTCTCTCTCTCTCTCTCTCTCTCTCTCTCTCTCTCTGTTATTGTTTTGACCGTATCACAGTCACTCACGCTT